CCTGAAAGATATGACAACATCTTGGGGACAGTACTTGAAGAGAACCCCAGGTCAAAGATGGAGAGGTTTCCCAAAAAAAAGTACATAGGTGTGTGAAGCTGAGAAGAGGCGAAGATAACAGTAAGAATGAGCACATTTCCCAGGAGGGTGCATAAATACAGCGATGAGAACAGGAAGAGAAGGGCAGTCTCTAAGCCTTCTGTGTCAGGGATTCCCAGCAGGATGAACTCAGTCACCATAGTGTGATTTCTCATTTTTATAGAAGAACCAACTCTTGAGTGTCTGTGAAAGGAAATTTGTGGCTCAAATTAATATGCTGAAAAATTAACTGTGTTTACATCAGTGGAATATTAAAAGAGAAAATGATCTAGGCATTGCAAGATCCTGAAGAAATTGTCTTGATCTGCCTGATTCTCCATAGGCTGGGTATTTTTTCTGATGCTCAGTTTCTCAGGGTACATAGTCCTCATTGACCATCTCACCCACGGGTTTATAAGTTTATTCTCCCAAACTCATGTCTTTATACACATCAGTAAATTACACCAATTTTATGTGATCTTGTGATTCTAAAGGGAAAAATACCCACTGTTGGTATAAGAAACAAGGCTACATACGAGTTTGTTACATCTGTTTACATCAATTTGGTTCCATTAAATTTCCAATAGTCATTTAAGTAATGGAAGCAAAGGAAGTAAAATATATGATATCTTCTCACATTATCTCACTAGACTTGAGAAGCAACACTAAAAAACAATCCAAAGTATCTCAGGTCTTCATGACTACAAAAATATATTAACAGGACCCTCACTCACTGAAGTCCCTTGAGCTTACTACAATGATTATGTGGTAGCCTCCGCATCAGGCTCCAAAATCATCAATGCAATTTTGAAGCAGCACATGAGAGCGTGTAGGGGTTTTAAAGACTCTGAGTCTCATATTTTTAAAAATTTAGATACCATATTCTACTTGTTTTAAAAGTAATATCTTTAAATTATAGATCAGTTCGTAGATTTCAGTAATAGCGATTGTAAGAGGAGGGAGAAAGTGACACCCCAAATTTAAATTGAAGGACAAAACAAGAACACTTGCCTCGCTCAGCAAGCTTAACTGGCTGGTGCTATTGCATATCCTTTTCCTTTCCTTGCTCACAGAAGGAAGGAGCCTCCCTACCTGATCCCCCCCACCCTGCAGTCTGCATGCAGATCTGCTCTTTTCCTTCACTCTCAGGTGGAGCGCACATCCCAGTGCGGTCCAGCTCCCTGGCAATAATTTCCTATGAGACTTCAGGAACTGCAATTATTCATAAACAGGAGAGTTTTGAATCACCTTGGCTTCCTTTGGGTGTCAGTCTCCCCAGTCAGGGATCTTATTGAGCAAGGGTGCAATTACCTAGTCGGCATAATTGGACCTTAGAAATGAGAGAAAGATTGTTACAGATTTTTTTTTTGTAAAATACACTTTGTGGAAAAATAATTTTTGAAAAATCCTTTGATACTTATTTCACACCTATTTGCATTGAATTTTTACACTGATTGCTTTTTCATGAGGTGATGTATTTATAAATAAATTATACATTATTTTACTGTATGGTACCCACAGGTTTGATTTATTACAGTAGTTCACGGGATAACAGAGAGAACCAAAGAGACTAATACAAATCTAGGTCTAAGAAAGGTAGGGAGCAGAGCAGCTGCAGGCACAGTGGCAGGAAGAATCTGAGCAGCAGCCTCCTGGCACTGTCATCAGCTGGCTCAGCCGCAGCAGCCTCTCATTCTGTGTGCCTCAGCTCACACTGCAAATCCCATTTTCTTGGCTGAATCCCATGCTGACCCCTGTGCCCAGGGCACAGGCTACAGTGCAAAGCAGGTGGCAGTTTCCGGAAGATGGTGAAAAAAACTACCTTATAGATTTAGAAAAAATAATCCTAAAATTCATGTGGTACCAGAAAACACTTAGAATAGTAGAAGCAATTTTAATCAAGGCAAAGGCATGGGTTGGGGGAGGCATCTCAATCCCAGACTTTGAGTTATAGTACAAAGCTACAATGAAGGCAACATGATAATGGGAAAAAACCACACTTGAGGATAAATGGAACCCAGTAGATGTAGAAATAACTCCAAGCACACTCAGTTATCTTATCTTTGAGAAAAGGGTCAGCCACCTTCACAGGAGGAAAGCTAGCCTCCTTAGCATGTGGTGCTTGGAAAACTGGTTTTTCATATACCGAAGGTTGAACCTAAACCAATATCTTGCACCATGCACCAAATTACAATCAAAACAGATAAAAAATTCAAATATTATAAGAGAAAACTTAATGTGCTGGAAGATAAAATAGATAAAACTCTTGAAAATATAGATGTGGGCAGACTTTATGAACAAAATCCAGATTACACAGGACATAATATAAAGAATCAAGTATTGAGATCACATGAATTGAAAAGCTTCTTCACAGCAAAAGAAGCCACCAACAGAGTGAAGAGACAGTTGCAGAATGGGAAAAAATTTGCCAGTTACTCCTCAAACAGAGTACTACTCTCTAGAATATAAAAAGGAGTCAAAAAATTGCCTCCCCAAATTTAAAGACCCAATCCAAACCTGGCAGCTGAAATGAATAGGTGTTTCTGCAATGGAGAAGTACAAATAACCAATAAATACATGAAAAACATGTTCAGTATCACTGGCCATTCGAGAAACGCAAATCTAAACAACATTGAGATTTCATGTCACTCCAGAAAGAATGAGCATCATCAAGGAATCAACCAATAACGAGTGCTAGTGAGGTTGTAGGGAAAAAGGAACAGAAATCAGTATGGTGGTTTCTCAAATTCCATTTGACCTAGTTGTTCTCCTTTTAGGTATCTTCCTTAAAGAACTAAAGTCATCATGCCATAGTGGTACATGCATACCCATATCTAAGCAGCAAAACTTTTAGTAGTTAAATCTTGAAAACAACTCATGTACCCATAAATAGATGGATAGATAAAGAAAATGTTATATTATAACACAATGTAGTACTGCTCAGCTATAAAGAAAGATAAACTGAAGACAATTTTAGGTAGATGGATGCGTCTCGAGGCCATAATATTAAGTGAAAAAAAATCAGACATAAAAGTTTAAATATTGTTTCTCTTGTGTGAGAAACCCAAAGTATAATTAAAAAGCAAAAGGTAGAAGGGATATTAGGAAGTAGGAACAACTTGCTCAAATAGGAAGGGCAGCAATAGACAGGGGGATAGGGGATAGAAGGAAGGCAAAACATTTCTTGAAAAGAATTACAGAACAAAATTATAAGCAATGCTTTTGTAAATAAGGAGGGGGAGAAGGATTGAAGGGAATGGAGAGGAATGGGACAGGAACTAAGTGATATTATGTACATGTGCAAAACTCCCTTTAGGTATGTGATCATCATGCACGGGAAACATGTACTAATAAAACTAGACAAGCTGTTTCTCCAGCTTCCTCATGCCGAGAACAGAAGCTGCTGTCTTTCCAGCACTGAGTGTAAAGAGACAACATACCCTGCTCCCTCCCTCCCCCAATGGGGCAAAGACTGGTAACACCTGTTAGATATATTTCCTGGGTTCTATAGGTTTGAGTTCTCTCCTGTGCTGCAAGGGTGAGAGGCCGTGACTACCTGTTCTCTGTATTTGGCCAATCGGTGAATAAACATGTTTTCAGTTTTTTACGCATTTCTCCTCTACTCTTTTTTCCCTCTCTTTCTTCTACTCTTCGTGGTAGGCAGTTAAAGAATCCAGATGGTTGGAGCCCAATTCAAGCCTTTGATCAAGCCCTGCCAGCAAAAACAATGGGACAGATGTTGATAAAGCAGAGAAAATGTTTGGTATATCTGCTCACAGATCTTTTCCTCCAGAAGGTGTGAACATTTTCCAAAATATAATAAGTAATGAAGTAAAGTTTTGAATTTTGTTTTCTCTTTCCTTTTTTAAGGAAAAGTTCAATATTTGATTAAGTTCATTGTCAAAGATAGATCATATATGTCTCAAACATCTCATTTTATTTATTCACTCATTTGCTTATTTTTTTAATTTGTGTTACTGAGGATGAAGCCCTCAGTCCTTTAGCATTGAGCTACATTCCCAGCCCTTTTACATTTTGTTTTCTTTTGAGACAGGACATCACTAAATTGATAATTTGCTAAGCATAGGCTAGAATTTGTGAGGCTTTCACATCCCAGATTGTTGAGATTATAAGTTTTTACCAACACACAGTCCAAACTGTAACTTTACTCATTTTAGTTGACAAAAGTAGTATATAGTTGTGGTGTACCTCATGATGTTTTAAAATGTGTATACATTCTGGAAAGGCTAAATCATACTGATAAACATGTGTTAACTCACATATTTTGTCAGAAGAGCTGATCTGTTGAGAATTTTACAGGATGCCATACATTGTTACTAACTATAGTCACCATGGTATACGATTAATCTCTTCTAGTATTTTCTCCTGTTTGACTGGAATTTTGTATCCTTTAGGCAATATTGCCTTTATACCTAGCTCCTTAGGCACTATTGCCTTTATACCTCGCTCCAGTCCTTTATCCTTTAGGCAATATTGCCACCTTTATACCTAGCTCCTGTCCCTGGTAACTGCCATCCTACTCCCTGCCTCTGTGACTTCAATTTACTCATATTCCACAGGTAAGAGACAGAGTATGAAAAAGTGCACTTGTTTTACTAAGCTGGGCTCATGTCACTCAGCACAATGGTCTTCACATTCATGCATGCTGGAGAAGATAGGATTTTCTTCTTTTTCAGCTGAATAGTTTTCCTTTGTGTACATATATTACATGTTCCTTGTTCCAGAGAGCATGGAAGTAGAGAC